AAGTCTCCCACATGGGTGGCAGAGGCCCAAGCACTTGGGTCCTCTTCCACTGTTTTCCCAGGCACATTAGTAGGGAGCTGAATTGAAAGCTGAACAGCTGGAACTTGAACCAGCACTCTGATATGGGATGTTGGCACTGAAATGGCAGTTTAACTCACTGTGCCACAATGCCAGCCCTCAACGTAATTTATATTATCAGCTAGCATATATTGAGCACTACATCTCAAGTACTATGTTAGACATTTAATTGCAATCTGTTATTTAAAATAATAAACAAAATTTGTATATCCTTGGCATGGCATAACACTGCCTTTTGCACTAGACTAGATGTTTTACTTAAACTTTAAAACATCTTAACAACATAACTTCTTAATATCCGCTTTTTAAATGTATAATCTTTATAATCATAAGCTTAAACCTTCACTAATACAGAATTCAACAAGCCGTAAGTAGAAAAACTACTGCTCCTCAAGAGTTTAGACAAGGGCTATAAACAGTAATCAAATATCCAAATATCAATTTTGTTCATCTAGATCACATTTTTGTTATTATAATGAAAATTGAAAGTATGTCATTGTAAAAATTAAAAAAATAAGAAAAGAGGGTGGAGGAAGGGTGGAAGTGAGTGAGAGAGGGTAAGGTGGAAAGTATCATTATGCTCTTAAAATCGTATATACAAAAACACATGAAATTTGTTCCATTTATATAAATTTTAAAAAGCAAAAAAAAATTAAAAATAAACACACAAAAGCAGGATCCACTGACCTGATGGAAAAATAAAAATGTTCTCATGCTTACCCTGAAGAAAAAAATATACATATTCTATACATCCTTTTCACCTGTTACTCTCCACACCAGCCAGCTGCTTCATACACTATCCACCTGTCGCTCAGCCCGACTAGTCTCTTTTTTCTTTAAAGATTTATTTATTTGGGGCCAGCGCTGTGGCACAGTGAGTTAAAGCCCTGGCCTGAAGCGCCAGCATCCCATATGGGCACCAGTTTGAGTCCTGGCTCTTCTCTTCTGATCCAGCTCTCTGCTATGGCCTGGGAAAGCAGTAGAAGATGGCCCAAGTCCTTGGGCTCCTGCACCCACATAGGAGACCCAGAAGAGGTTCCTGGATCCTGGCTTCAGCCTTACCCAGCCCTGGCTATTGCAACCACTTGGGGAGTGAACCAGCAGATGGAAGACCTCTCTGTCTCTACCTCTCCCTGTAACTCTGTCTTGCAAATAAATAAAAATAATTTTAAATTATTTGAAAAGCAGAGTTAGAGAGAGGGGAAGAGGGAAGTGTTGGGGGGGGGGTGTAGACAGGACAGGCAGGGCCTGCACTAAGCCCCTCATAAGCAGGAAGGCTTAAGGAATGGAGTCTCTGAGGGGGGAATGTTGCAGGCAGGCATATAGAATAAAACTGATTAGGTTTGTGAGTTGGAAGACCACTCCTTCACCATGCCCTGTGTGATCTCCTGCCTCTACCTGGCCATACTGTGTGCCCACCAGCCAATCAGGTTAATTAACCACTCCCCTTTGGAAGTGGATTAGAGGCCTGGGACACAGTGGGCCCAGCCCTTTTTGGCCTGTTTCCCTTTTGCCCTGGACCCCCTTGCTGCCCTGCACCTCCAGAGAACTTGGCCATCTTCTGCTTCTTTCCCAGGAGCTTTAGCAGGGAGCTGGATCCAAAGTGGAGTGGCAGGGATTCAAATCGGTGCCCATATGGGATGCTGGTGCCACAAGTGGCGGCTTTACCCACTATACAGCAAACATTGGCCCGGCCCAAATAATCTTAAGGATTGGTTCCTACTCTGAGTATGGGCCTCTGAAGATCATGGCCCTTTAATGTACTTTGTATATTGCCAATCTTTTGTCCTGGCTTCTGACCTTTGCTATTGGCTCTTTGTGTGAAATTTTGACATGCAAGGGATGAATATTCTGTAAGGGGCTTTCTGCTCTGTTATATTGATGGGGATATAGAAAACAGACTATTCCACCCACGTGTAAAGTCCCTAAGGCTTCCTTTTGTCTGGAGGAAGTCCAGGCAGGATAAGTTTGCAGTAATATTCTATTTCAATAAGCATTGGGCTGAACCATGAGTGGCAGAAAGGTCAAAACAACAATGGTTTAAGATTGAAGCAACTGCTCTCTCACAAAGTGGAGTGGAGTGGAGTGGTGAGTGGTCCACAGGGGAAAGGTGGCTCCACCCTAAACCCTCAGGAGCTCACACTTCTCCCATCTTAACACTCTCCCAGCCTCAGACTATGGCCCTTCTTCTTGCAGTCTGGAACACCAGGATCTTCATTTCAGGCAGCCAGTTACAGGAAAAGGCAGAGATGGAAAGGATGGGGAATTTTCCATCCCATCGGCCAGAACCTAATCACAGAACTACACCTGTAAGGGAAGCTGAGAGAAACAGTCCCCATTCTGGATAGCCATGTACCCAGTCAGAAATCAGGAGTCCTTAATAACCCTGGAAGATGGAACACAATCTCTATCACTCAGTGCCAACAGCTGTCCCAGCTTTGACTGTGCACTGACCTCTGATCACATATCCTTATCGCTCTTATCACTGAGGTCTCATGACGTTCATAGCCAGATTATTCTTGGCTTTATTTACTTACGATGCATTTATCTACTTCATTTCCCCAAAGAATTAAAAGTGCTCTGAATATATGCATTCATCAAGATGACAAAGAGAGGGAACTTCCTGGCAGCAAAGGCCTAAGTGGACATGTAAGACAAATGCAAATAGCGTGATTCCTCTTCTGAGATCGGTGAGCAACCTCTGAGATTCTTGACCCTGGCCTTTTGCTGGGAGGCCTGCTGCCCCTCTTCTCAGACCACTCCTTCTCCCTCTGTCTATGAAGCACTCAGAATGCAGGCGAATGGGTCATCTCTGCTTTCGATACCTTGCTTAGCCACTACTCTGAAGACATCTGTTGACTCTACCTGATGCCACCGCAGCTGTCCTGCTCTGCAGCCCAGGGCTCGTTGCTGTAGCCAGCTTTTTTTTTTTATCTTCTTTTATTTTTTTGTTTTTTCGACAGGCAGAGTGGACAGTGAGAGAGAGACACAGAGAGAAAGGTCTTCCTTTTGCTGTTGGTTCACCCTCTAATGGGCGCTGCGGCTGGCGTGCTGCGGCCAGCGCACCACGCTGATCCGATGGCAGGAGCCAAGTACTTATCCTGGTCTCCCATGGGGTGCAGGGCCCAAGCACTTGGGCCATCCTCCACTGCACTCCCTGGCCACAGCAGAGAGCTTGTAGCCAGCTTTCAACAGTTACTGGACCCAAAGTGGCATGGACCAGTCTTTGGCAGAGGAGGTTGAAACACTGATGCACGAATCTGCTGTTTTCCCAGGAGGGGAAAAAGCAAACAGAAGTTTCTTAGCAGTGTCCTTCTTGTCCTCCTAGTTTTGTATTTACTTCTTAAGTGCTAATTGCAAAAAGAAAGTAGAAATAGTGATAAGATCTTTCCCATCCACAGTTACCGACTCTAATCGCACTAGGTTTGGCAGTTAGATTGAGAAGTAGGTTTATGAAGCAAACCCACGTAACTGCAAATGTCCCCTGCCAATGGCAGGGAGCTGAAACCCTGGCATGCCCATAAATAGATCTCTGAAATTAGCCTGCTGAAGTTGCCATTTCGTCATTGCTATTTTTCTTAAAAGGCTTTATTTGCTTATTATTTCTATCTGCTTATCAGGCTCGCCAAAATTCTGGTTGTAATTCTACATGTGATTTTTATTTTCTGGGCTGTATTTTCAATATTCCTGATCCTAAAGAAGCCATGATCACATGGATTTAAGAGTTTTCTTGTTTCACCTATTAAAAACAAACAAAAAAATTTTTTAAACACATCAACTCTGGGCTGGCTTCATGGGTTGATGGCTGGGACAGTTTCATAAGGCTCCTCCATCAAAAGGGCCCCAGTATGGTTTAAGACTGCATTTGACATGTGGAAATCCCTAGAGAATTCATCTTCAAATTTGTGGCTTATAAATTATGTCAAAGGGACAATGTAGCACATGCATGAATGGAAGTGTTATGTAGCTTTTTTTTTTTTTTTTTTTTTTTTTTTTTTTGGACAGGCAGAGTTAGTGAGAGAGAGACAGGGAGAAAGGTCTTCCTTCCATTGGTTCACCCCCCAAATGACCACTACGGCTGGCATGCTGCACTGATCGGAAGCCAGGAGCCAGGTGCTTCCTCCTGGTCTTCCATGCGGGTGCAGTGCCCAAACACTTGGGCCATCCTCCACTGCCTTCCCAGGCCACAGCAGAGAGCTGGACTGGAAGAGAAGCAACTGGGACAGAACCAGCGCCCCAACTGGGACTAGAACCCAGAGTGGTGGTGCTGCAGGCAGAGGATTAGCCTAGTGAGCCAAGGCACTGGCTATGTTATGTAGCTTTGAAATGATTTCAACCATTACAGAAATAACATATGTTTTGCTGTGATAATAGCGTATAAACCCTTTCCTGGCTAGAATGCTACATCACACCTTAAGAGACCACCTATGTGAGTTTATTGGCCTCAACTATGGGACTCCAAAACCCATACAAACACAAGATTTTGACCAACACTGAGAATTACTCTGGTATTGGTGGCATGCAGGGGTCTTGTACATCCTGCACACATCCATTGTGTTGGTCAACTGACTTGTGTTGCCTGGGAGCAATGTCTCTGGAAAGAGGTATTCTCAAGCCTTAATTAGACTTTACATCTACACAAGCTTGCTTCCACCCTTATTGGGCAACCAGACCTTTGCAGTTGAACGCTAAGAGAAATTGGAACTCACTATGTGCTTAGTGTACTTCCTCTGCCCAGTGTGTTCCTTGTGATACTTCTTCTCATTATTTCCCCGCTTTGAGCACTGAAGATAGAAATCCCTGTGTGGCAATATGTGAGTAGAGAAAACACACCTTGCTCACCTCCTTACTGAAGTGTGCACCTCCTCTCCTCACACGGTAGTCACAGTGGCTGTGAGCACAGCGTTCCAGTGGACCTGTACAGCAGTTCAATGACACTCAAAATAAGAACATGTCAAGTTATTCCGTTTATGACTAAGTAGGGGGTTGACAGCTCCTAGAATCAGAGCTTCCTTTGAATGCAAAAAAGAAGACAACAGCAACATGAATGACTAGGGAAACCTATCACAGCCTTCCTTATCTGTGTTATTTTCCTGTATTAGCCAAACACAAAGACCAAATTTTTGTCATTTCTCACCCATGGGTGAGCTAGGTTTACCCCAAAAGGAAGTTGGTTTTAGTCGTGTGAGAACTGAGATAAGGGTATGAGCAAACCTGAGTGTGTGTCAGTTTATCTTTACCTGGTAAGTCAGCACATGCTAACATCTCCTGTGATTGTAGCAGCACTCCCCACCAGGTGTCTCTAGCAGAGTTGTACAGGCTTCAAGTAACAGAGAAGGCAAACTGTGCCGAAGTTCTCTGAGCTCATTTCTTCCAATGGGTTACTTTTTAACTACATTGTTATGTTTTAAACAAAGTGTCTCCATTCAACAACTCATTCTTTTTATTGTGTTTCAAATGTTCATTACATACTCCTTAAAGAATTGGAAAATGTGAACAAGTAAAAAGGAGGAATATCCAGACACAACTACTAGTAACATTTTAGTGAATTTCTCTAGAGTTGTTTTTCTCCTATGCATAAAAATAAAAATTTGAGCCACGGAGTGGGAGAAGTTATTTGTATATGCATTCTCATATTTGACAAAGAACTTGTATTCAGAAGAAATAAAGAACTCTTATAAATCAACAGAAACAAGACAGAAAGTAGAATTCAAAAATGGCTGGTAGGCCCTTTACTAAAAAGAGTGCTCAAATGGCCAACAAGCACATTAAAAACGTGCTCAACATCATTAGTTCTCAGGAAAATACACCTGAACTACAGAGAGATGCTACAAAACCCACCAGAATGGCTAAAACTTAATAATCAGTATTACATATCAGCGAAAATTTGGAGTAACTGAAATCTTGTTTCTTTGCTAGCATGATTGTAAATTTGTTTAGCTACTTAGAGACATGTTTGATAGTATTTAATAAAACTGAACATAAGAATATTCTCATCCTATAACCCTTTTCTCTGTATGTACCCAACAGAAATATGAGTAAATATACATCAAAAGGCATGTATAAAACTACCCATCACAGCAATATTTATACAAACAAACCCTTGAAAACTGAACCCAATGCTCAACTACAGTACAACTGGGTGTAGAAGAACTAGGCAGGAAGATGAGGTAGGAATAGCTGAACTGGAATATTTTCTCACAATTTCTGCTGGCCCTGCTTTATAAGTCTATCCCCTTACCTGCAATCCAGTATGCTCAGTATCCCATGATGCCCTGTGGAAGGTATATTCCTTGTGGAGGCAACCCCCAGAAAGTCTTATGTATGCAAAACCCCACCCTATGTGTATATTCAATTAGGGCATCGCCCCCTAGCTCATAAAAATAACATGGGAGGGACCCTTATTTGCTCTTAGTCATGCTTACAGTGCTTCTCTGGCCTCCCTCCACCTCTTTCCCCAGAGGCAATTCTGCATTCTTTTCTTTTTTTCTTTGGGGTCTTAATCCCTCAGATATTGGCTGCCCAAAGTCCCTAAATTCCCACTTCTGCTTTCCCAGGGCCAGTGGGACAGCTGTGAGCTAGAGTTCTCTCTGTGTGTCTCAATCTCCCACTCACTGTGCACAACAATGTGAATTTGAAAATATCTTGGGCTAAGCAAAGATTTCTTAAACAAAACACTAAAAGTACTAATCATATTGGAAAACCTCAATGGCCATTTATATAAGAATGATTGAAATAAATTGTAGTGTGCATGTAATAGTGTATTATATAACCAATAAAAAGATTATGCATTGGTATCAAAAGATACTCATGCTATACTGTGTTGCTAAGTGAAAAAAGCAACTAAAGAAGAGTAGTCTGCTTTGTAAACATAAAAGATAATTTTTTAAAGTCTAAGTTTATACACCAACTTATTTATGGCAATTATAATGAGTAGGATAACAAAAGTACCTTCATTTTCTGTATTATGGTTGTTATTTGTTTCCAATAAACTAGAACCACTTTTTTTTTTTAAGTTTTTATTTATTTATTTGAGAGGTAGAGTTACAGACAGTGAGAGAGAGAGAGAGAGACAGAGAGAAAAGTCTTCCTTCCGTTGGTTCACTCCCCAAATGGCTGCAATGGCTGTAGCTACGCCGATTCGAAGCCAGGAGCCAGGAGCTTCTTCCTGGTCTCCCATGTGGGTGCAGGGGCCCAAACACTTGGGCCATCTTCTGCTTTCCCAGGCCACAGCAGTAGCTGGACCGGAAGAGGAGCAACAGGGACTAGAACCAGTGCCCACTTGGGATATCGGTGCCGCAGGTGGAGAATCAACCAAGTGAGCCACGGTGCTGGCCCCTAGAATCACTTTTATAAGCATGGAAAACAAAAGTTGATATAATATTTTATTAAGAAAAAATAACAATTGGGCAAAAGTTACATATGCCTGTCTATCTAACTATCCATTCATCCATCTATCCATTCATATATATCTTCTGGAATGTAAATTAGATGAAGGAGACCTCCTTTGTTTTATAAATGGCTGTGTTCCCAGCACCTATAATATTGTGAGTCATAAAGTAGGCATTTGGTAAATATTGGAATATATGCCCAATTTTTTTACATGAGTATTAACACACTGGAGCTTATTTTCTATATGTAGGTATCTCCAAATGAGTATTTAATATAATATTATGGAAGAATATCTTACAAGGGATTGCTTGAATATAGACATGTACTTTTCTTCAAATAACAAACATCCCTGAAATATGCTTAGAAATATTTATTTCTCTGCTGAGACTGCAGGCTCCTTAATAGCTTGGCTTGTTCTCTGTGTGTCACTACACTTCACCAAGCACTGTACCAGACCTTTAAGTGCCTAATAAATATTAACCAAATAATTGCTCAGTTATTGATATTTCATTACTTATTTATTATCATTGATAAAAATGATGATCTGGTACTTAGGGATGGAAATTTTATTTCTATCTTATTTGAGCAGTATCAAATTATTAAAAAGTCAACTTTCAATCAAATTAAGTGAAGCTTTACAGAATAACAATTCTTTTTATATTCTCTATGTGCCATATTATATTTTCAATATACTGTTAGAGTCCAATTTTCAACAATACCAACACAAAAACTTAGGCTTAATATTCAATGGTGCGTTTTCTCATTCAGGTACTTTGTTGGATACATGTTTGAACATAATTCCTCCCAATCTGGGCCTTGCTTTTTATTTTTGTAACACCATGCTTTGAACAGCAAAATTTAATTTCTTTAAAAGATTTTTATTTTTATTTTTATTTTTATTTATTTAAAGTCAGAGCAGGGAGGGAGAGAGAGAGAGAATTTCCATCTGCTGGTTCACATCCCAAATTCACAACAACCAGGCTGGACCAGGCTGAAACCAGGAGCCAGGAACACCATCCAGGTTTCTCACATGGGTAACAAGGACCTAAGCACTTCAGCCATTAATCTGCTGCCTCCTGAGGTGTGCATTAGCAGGAAACTGGATTAGAAGTGGAAGTAAGGGGCCGGCACTGTGGCTCACTTGGTTAATCCTCCGCCTGCAGCGCTGGCATCCCATATGGGCTCCGGGTTCTAGTCCCGATTGCTCCTCTTCCAGTCTAGCTCTCTGCTGAGGCCCAGGAGGGCAGTGGAGGATGGTCCAAGTGCTTGGGTCCCTGCACCCATGGGAGACCAGGAGGAAGCACCTGGCTCCTGGCTTCGGATCGGTGCAGCGCTGGCTATTGTGGTCATTTGGGGAGTGAACCAACAGAAGGAAGACCTTTTTCTCTGTCTCTCTCTCTCTCTCACTGTCTATAACTCTACCTGTCAAATAAATTTAAAAAAAAAAGTGGAATTGAGTAGAAGACTTATATCCAGAATATATAAAGAAACCTCATAAGTCAACAATATTAACAACTCAATTAAATATGGTAAAAAAAAATCTGAACAGAGATGTTACCAAAGAAGAGACATAGGTCTACTAGCACATATAAAGATGCTGAACATTTTCAGGCATTAGAGAGAGGCAACTTAAAACCATAATGTTATACAACTGCACACACACAAAAAGGCTAAAATCAAAACACTGTAAATAACAATCACTAGCAAAAATGCAGAATAACTGAAACTGCAATATATTGCTGAAATACAAAATGCTACACACACTTTGAAAACTGGCTGTTTCTTAAAAAGTAAGACAAGATACAGCAGCAATCCAACCCTTAGGTATTTACTCAAATAAACTAAAGACTTGTTCTCACAAATCCTGTATGCAATTGTTCATTGAAGCTTTATTAATAATAACTAGACCAACCAAGATGTTCTTCAACTAGTGAATGCTTTTATTTATTTATTTTTTTAAAGTGCTATGTCAGATCCAAGATGGCTGAATAAAGACACTCATTTTAGCCATGGAAGGATAGGAAGGTAAAGGAAGGCCCAGGTTTCTGGAGAAAGCTGGAGAGAAATTTTCAGTAGGGATCCTAGAGAACAGAACAGAGACTCCATGGAGCAGTGAGGATGCTGTACGGACAAAGAGCAGCTGGCAGCACACTACCAGTGACTCCTCCAGCCAGCGGCCAGTGGAGAAATATCATCTGGCCAGAGCAAGGTGAAAGGAGGATGCCCCCGTCTGCACCACTGTCACTTCTGTCTGAGGGACAACTTTTGAGTCCAGCCTGGGGAGCTGGCTGGGAGCAAGGCATCCTCTTAGCTTCATGAAGGGAGGCCACGTCACCTCCCTCCCATCCAACCACCGAGGTGCCAGACTCAACATGCTGAGGCAGAGCTCCAACCAACCTCTATCCTGACACAGGAAAGGGCAAGAATGTTGCTTCTGAGACAGGACAGAGAGTGGGTCCCCTGCACTCTGACTGTGGGCGTTCTATGTAGGCTGCAGAACTGAGAAAGACGGAGGATGTTCTGGGTTCCTGGGAACTCACCCAGTCTGACACTGGAAGCTCAGAGCTCCCTGAGTGCTGGGAACAACGTCACAGAGAGGTCAGTGGTCACATTAGGGAGCACACAGATGCTCTATAGGGTTCATGTGCCTGAGTGGGTGGGGTGTGCAGGTATTATGAGATCACTGTAGGCAGTGAACCACCTGGTTCAGCTTGGCACAGAGAAGGGCTGAGGCTATGAACACTCCAGCTCATGTCAATATCCCCTCCCCTTACTGACAATAGTCAGAAGAAATCTACTACATCCAACTTAGGTGTCACTCTGGACTCTTGCTCCACCCACAGTGGTGGCCAGAGTTCCCTGGCCACACCCAGCACATACCTCTGCATATCCGTTGTAAGCCACAGGCATTCCCCCAAGTTACAGAGGCACAATTCCAAGAATAAGGGCTTCAGATGAGATAGTAACAGGTGATCCCCTAGATGTGTAAAAATCAACATAGAAATATAAGAAACATGAACAAGGAAGGCAATATGACTCCCCAAAAGGAACACTATACTACATTAATATGGGATTGTGAAAATGGACAGACTGACAAAATGCCTGAGAAGGAATGCAAAAGAATGATTGTATAAGATTACTCAAGGGGCCAGTGCAGTGGGCATAGCAGGTTAAGCCTTCCCTCTGTGGTGCTGGCATGCCATATGGGCACCAATTCAAGTTCCAGCTACTCCACTTCCAATCCAGCTCCCTGCTAATGGCCTGGGAAAGCAGTAGAAGATGGCCCAAGTGCTTGGGCCTCTGCACCAGAATGGGAAACCTAGAAGTTCCTGGCTCCTGACTTTGGATCCACCCAGCTCCAGCTGTTGAGGCCATTTGGGGAGTGAACTAGTGGACAGAAGATCTTTCTCTATGTCTCTCCTCTGTCTGTAACTCTGCCTCTCAAATAAATAAATAAATCTTTAAAAAATTACTCAAAAACACAGAGAAGCAGTTATATAAAATAAGGAAGCTCATACATGGCATAAATGAGAAATTCTGAAAATAAATAGAGATATTGAAGAAAAATAAAACCAAAATATTAGAAATGAAGAATGTGGGGCTGGTGCTGTGGCATAGTGGTGAAATCTGCCTCCTGCAAGTCTGGAATCCCATATGGGCACTGGTTCATGACCTGGCTGCCCCCTTTCAATCCATTTCCTTTCTGATGGCTTGGGAAAAGCAGAAGATGGCCCAAGTGTTTGGGCACCTGCCACCCATGTCAGAGACCTGGATTAGATCCTGGATTCTGGCCTCAGCCTGGCCCAGCTCTAGCCATTGCAGCCATTTGGGGAGTGAACCAGAGGATGGAAGACCTTTATCTCTGTCTCTTCCTCTCTCTGTCTGTAAATCTACCTCTCAAATAAATTAGTTAATTAAATCTTAAAAGAAATCTCCTAGTAAAAGAACAAAGGGAGCCAAAACAAACAATAGGAATATTTATGTGAAAATTACACGATCAAGTCAATACTTATCAGTAATAACCTTCAATATAAATTGACTAAAATCTCCAATTAAAAGATATACACTGGCTGAATGGGTTAAAAAACAAAACCCACTGATATGCTGCCTACAAGAAACACATTCCACCAAAAGAGATACATACAGACTGAAAGTGAAAGGGTAGAAAATGATATACCATGCAAATAGAAATAAAAAACAAGCAGCAGTAGCAATACTCATATCAGACAGAATAGACTTAGAGAGAGAGAGAGAGAGAGAGAGAGAGAGAGAGAGAGATCCCCCATCTGCTGGTTTACTTTCCAATTGGCCACAACAGCCAGAGCTGGGGCAGACTGAAGCCAGGAGCCCAGGGTCTTCTCTGTATCTCCCACGTGGGTGCAGGGGCCCAAGCACTTGGGCCATTCTCTGCTGTTTTCCCAGGTGTATTAGCAGGGAGCTGGATTGGAAGTGAAGTAGCCAGGTCTTGAACCAGCACCTACAATGGATGTTGGTGTTGCAGGTAGGGTCTTACCTGCTATGCCACAACATGGGGCCCAATACCCCACTTTCATCAATGGACAGATCAGCTAGACAAAAATCCAACAAAGAAATAGAGCTAATCTACACTATCAACTAAATGGATCTAATTGATATCTACAGAACATTTCACCCCACAGCTGCAGAATTCATATTCTTTTCATCAGTGCATGGAACAATCTCCAGGAGAGTCCATATAGCAGGCCACAAGACAAGTCTCAACAATTTTTTAAATTTAAATAATATAATAATCATTTTTTGACCAAAATGGAATAAATCTGGAAATTAACAACATAAGAAACCTTAGACAATATAGAAAAACATAGAGACTGACCAACATATTCCTAAATGAACAGTGGGTCATAGAAGAAATCTAAAGGGAAATAAAAATTCTTTAAATGAATGACAATGACAACATAATATATCAAAACTTACAGGTCACAGCAAAAGCAGTGTTAAGAGGAAAGTTTATGGCAGTCAGTACCTACATCAAGAAACTGGAAAGGTATTAAGTAAACAATCTAACAATGCATCTAAAGAACCAAGAAAAACAAGAACAAACCAAACAAAATTAATAGGAAGAAAGAAATAATAAAAATTAGAGAATAAACAAATTGAAACAAAAAAGATATAAAAGATCAGTGAAGCGACGAGCTGTTTTTCAAATAAACAAAATTGAAAAACCATTAGCCTATTAGAGAACATTGGAGAAACCCTTCAAGATATTGGCACAGGCAAAGAATTTCTGGAAAAGACCCGGGAGGCACAGGCAGTCAAAGCCAAAATCAACTATTGGGATTGCATCAAATTGAGAAGTTTCTGTACTGCAAAAGAAACAGTCAGGAGAGTGAAGAGACAACCGACAGAATGGGAAAAAATATTTGCAAACTATGCAACAGATAAAGGGTTAATAACCAGAATCTACAAAGAGATCAAGAAACTCCACAACAACAAAACCAACAACCCACTTAAGAGATGGGCCAAGGACCTCAATAGACATTTTTCAAAAGAGGAAATCCAAATGGCCAACAGGCACATGAAAAAATGTTCAAGGTCACTAGCAATCAGGGAAATGCAAATCAAAAGCACAATGAGGTTTCACCTCACCCCGGTTAGAATGGCTCACATACAGAAATCTACCAACAACAGATGCTGGAGAGGATGTGGGGAAAAAGGGACACTAATCCACTGTTGGTGGGAATGCAAACTGGTCAAGCCACTATGGAAGTCAGTCTGGAGATTCCTCAGAAACCTGAAGATAACCCTACCATTCGACCCAGCCATCCCACTCCTTGGAATTTACCCAAAGGAATTTAAATTGGCAAACAAAAAAGCGGTCTGCACCCTAATGTTTATTGCAGCACAATTCACAATAGCCAAGACCTGGAACCAACCTAAATGCCCATCAACGGTAGACTGGATAAAGAAATTATGGGATATGTATTCTTTAGAATACTATACCGCAGTAAGAAACAATGAAATCCAGTCATTTGCAACAAAATGGGGGAATCTGGAACATATCATGCTGAGTGAAATAAACCAGTCCCAAAGGGACAAATACCATATGTTCTCCCTGATCGGTGACAACTGACTGAACACAAAAAAGGAAACCTGTTGAAGTGAAATGGACACTATGAGAAATGGTGACTTGATCAACATAGCCCTGACTGTTAATGAACAACTTAATACATTATCCCTCTTAGTAGTTTTTTTTTTTTTGTCTGTTCTACTTAATATGACTGGTTTAATTCTGTAATTAATACACAGTTATTCTTAAGTGTTGAAATTTAACTGAAATGTGATCCCCGTTAAACATAAGAGTGGGAATAAGAGAGGGAAGAGATGTACAATTTGGGACATGCTCAAGCTGACTTGCCCCAAATGGTAGAGTTAGAAACATACCAGGGGACTCCAATTTAATCCTATCAAGGTGACATGTACCAATGCCATCTTACTAGTCCAAGTGATCAATTTCAGTTCACAATTGATCATAATGAAAGTTCTAAGAGTCAAAGGGAGCACATAAACAAGTCTAGTACCTGCTAATACTAACCGATAGAATAAATAAAGGGGAGAGTGATCCAACATGGGAAGCGAGATACTCAGCAGACTCATAGAATGGTGGATGTCCTAAACAGCACTCTGGCCTCAGAATCAGCCCTAAAGGCATTCCAATCTGGCTGAAAAGCCCATGAGAGTATTTCAGGCATGGAAAGCCAAGACACTCTGGCAAAAAAAAAAAAAAAAAAAAAAGAAAAAAAAAAACACCTAAATGAAAGATCTCTGTGAGTGAGATCCCAGTGGAAAGAACAGGTCTTCAAAGAAGGAGGTACCTTTCTCTGAAGGGAGGAGAGAACCTCCACTTTGACTATGACCTTGTCTGAACAAGATAAGAGTCGGCAAACTCAAAAGGCCTCCATAGCCTTGGAAACTCATGACTGGTGCAGAGGGAGATTACTGATGCCATAAACAGGAGTGTCAATTTGTAAAGTCAACAACAGGAGTCACTGTGCACTTACTCCTCATGTAGGATCTCTGTCCTTAGCGTGCTGTACATTGAGACTTAATGCTATAACGAGTACTCAAACAATATATTTCACTTTGCGTTTCTATGGGGGTGCAAACTGTTGAAATCTTTACTTAATGTATACTAAACTGATCTTCTGTAAAAAAAAAAAAAAGAAGAAGAAGAAATTATCAATTCCCAACTTGACTCTCACTGGGATTAAACATGACAATAGGTCTGATCTGATTTCATCATCATTTAAAAAATCATCTATTATTTTTCACTTTATGTTTCTGTGTGGTTGCAAACTGTTGAAATCTTTACTTAATGTATGCTAAACTGATCTTCTGTATATAAAGAGAATCAAAAATGAATCCTCATGTGAATGGAAGGGGAGAGGGAGTGGGAAAGGGGAGGGTTGTGGGTGGGAGGGACGTTATGGGGGGGAAGCCATTGTAATCCATAAGCCGTACTTTGGAAATTTATATTCATTAAATAAAAGTTAAAAAAATTAAAAAAAGAAAGAAAAACCATTAGCCTGACTAACCACAAAAAAAGGAAAAGATCCACATTAATAAAATCAGAGATGAAAAAAGGAGATGTTACAATTGATACCACAGAATAAAAAGAATTATCAGGAATTATTATAAACAGCCATATGCAACACAAATTGGAAAATCTAGAAGAAATGGATAGATTTCTTGACACATACAACTTACCAAAACTGAGGTACACAGACATAGAAAAATTGAATAAACCAATAAGCAAGACTGCAATTGAATAATAAAGACCCTCCCAATAAGGAAAATTCCAGGATTAGATGGTTTCACTGTTGAATTATACCAAACTTTCAAAGAATTAACTAATCCCAATTCTTTTCAAACTATTCAAAACAATTAAGGAAGGGAATCCCCCCAAACACTTTCTATGAGGTCAGTATTACCTTAATTACA